TCTGGAGCAAAAGAGAAAAGGTGTTTTCCCTGTTCTTTATGGTAGCTCTTTAGGTATTTGAAGACTGCTGGCATGTCTCCTTTTAAGTGCCTTTTCTGCAAGCTGAACATGCCTAACTTCTTCAACCTGTCCTCATATGACCTTTTGTATTTTGTATTTGTCAAAAATACCCATTTTGTATTTATATGTTTGATTGTCCTTCCCAGGGTTGCATTGGTCAGCATTGAACTTCATCCTGTTAGCTTCAGCCAAGGTTTCCAATCTATCAAGATCCTTCTGAACTGTTTTCTCAGTCTTTCTAGTTTTGTGTTGTCTACAAACTTGCTTAAGAAGCTTTCTATGCCAGTATTCAAATAATTAATAAACATGTTGAACAGTAATTGGCCAAGAACAGATCCCTGTGGGACTCCACTTGAAACCTCCTGCCACTCTGACATGGATCCATTTATAATTACCCTTTGCTTGCAGTTATTGAGCCAGTTGTCTATCCACTTCATAGTACAGTGATTCTCAAACAGGATCTCCAACTGCACCCTGGGGTGCCTGGAAATCCTTTCAAGGGTGCTGTGGGGTGCCACACAATTTTAGTACTGCTAAATTCACAAATGTGATTCACAAGATAACCCAGAAATTTCAAATAGAAATCTGTAGTTGTGGTCTTTTTAAGTTCTTTATAAAAACTGCTCTATTTTTCTGTAGTAAAAAAAAAGGCGAAAACTAAGAGCTGGCATGTTCCAAGGGGTGCCCCAAGTCAATCCAGGGTAGCCTCGTGTCTATGAAAGGTTGAGAACCACTTGTTACAGAAGTTTTATCTGGCCCGCATTTATCCAATTTGTTTATGAAAAGGGCAAGTGAGACCTTGTCAAAAGCCTTGCTGAAGTCCAGATACACGTCTGCTAGAGCTGTGCGAAGCGTCGGTCACTGATTTGATTTGGCAGAGATTCAGCCTGATTCAGTGGCCAAATCTCCAAATCCGAATCAAATCAGGAAACCCTTTAATCTTTCCAAATCAAATTGGAGCCCTCCGAATTGATTCAGAGAGATACAGAAAGATTTGATAATTCGGACATAGACACAGCTTTAAATGTTTTTTTCTACATACCTCAAGGTACCAGGTGGCTCATAAATGCTGAGATGCTGGGATAAATGCAGCGTCCCACAGGAGCGCAAGGGGATCCCCCGCGCACTTGGCAGCAGACCCGGAAGTAGACCAGAAACGCTTCTGGTCCACTCTGGGTCTGCTGGGGAGCACTCTGGGGGCCCCCCCATACCCTCCCTGGCTCGGCAGCTGGTGCCTTGTGGGTCTGGGGGAGCACCCGGGGTCCCCCCGTGGCCAATTGCTGAGCCAGGTGGTACAGGGGGACCCCTCCTGCACACTCAGCGGCAGACCCAGAAGTGGACGGGAAATGCTTCTGGTCCACTTCCGGGTTCACTGCTGAACATGTGGGAGGCCCCACCATACTCCTGTGGGACGCTCCAACCACCTTATCATCACAGCATTCACAAGCTGTGCCTGGTACCTCGAGGTATGTAAAAAAAACATTTAAAGCTGTGTCTATGGCTGAATTGCTGATTCTCCAAATCAGCATCTAATCTTCAGATTTGGATTCAGCCAAATTGAACCAGGACAGCGATCCAAATCAATGAATCCAATCACTGTCTCTGATTCAGGCCGAATCCAAATCTGAATCGAATATGACCCATTTTGCACACTCCTAATGTCCACAGAATTCCCTTCATTCACACTTGTAGTTACTTTGTCAAAGAAAGAGATCAGGTTTGTTCTTAGTAAATCCATGCTGGCTGCTTGTGATCAACATTTTTTCCTCTAAATGCTTGCACATGGGCTTGCTTAGGATATGTTCCAGTAACTTTCCAGATATTGAGGTGAGGCTAATTGGTGTTTGGCTGTCTAGATCCTCCTTTTTTCCTCTTTTTTAAAGAGAGGTACTCTGTTGGCTCTTTTTCAGTTCTCTGGTACCTCACCTGCCTCCCACGATTTCCTAAATATTATTGCCAAGGACTCCGAGATTATCTCTGCCAGTTCCTTTAGCCCCTCAGATGAAGTTCATTAGGTCCTGCTGACTTGAATTCATTCAGGTCCACGAAAAGTTCTCTTCTTGGTTTTGTTTTTTCCATTTTCTTATCTAGATACTTTTTATTAGGTGTCAGGCTGCAGCTTAATTTTTTTGTGAAGACTGAGACAAAAAGCTGTTGAGTAGATCTGCTTTCTGTGCGTCTTCCCAATCTCTGTTTGTGCCATCACCATTCAGTGTGATCATCTTTCAAATCAGTACCTTAGCAATGTATTCAGCATTTGATCTGGTGAAGAACCAGATGCCAGCTGTGGCAGGAGCTTTCTGACTGTCCCTTGGAAGAGGAGTTGAGTGATTCCTTGAGAAGGAAGTCTTTTCTCCAGTGCAAAAGTGAACCAAAGTATTTTCAGCTGAGACCTGTGCCTACTATGTCCCATCCACATCTGCAGTCCTGGAACTTCCTACGAGTAGGTTAATCTTGTATACGTAAAGGCCTAGGAGAAAGTCTGAACCAGTCTCAGGAGAAGGTCTTGTATCCTAACTTATTCTCACTTTGTACCACTGCAGAAATGGTGCAGGAACTGAGCCAATGAGAAAACACAGTGTTAGCAAGCCACTATTTTGTGTCTTTTTTTCAAGGGCTGCTGTGCTATCTAGAAGTTACTCCAGTATCTGGTAGTTCAGAAGGTCAAAAAAATATTGTCTTTGGCTAGAAACAGATGTAGCCAAATGAAGTGGATCAGCTGTGCCGTGCATGATGTGTTGTGGCACAGCTGATCTGTTTCATTAGGCAAAATATGGCACCCCTTGTCCTGCCCTTAGTCCAAAGAAACATCAGGCCACATCTGTTTCCACCGTTTCATTGTATAGGGCCCCATTGTAAAAAATTAGACTCAGTTTGGGGGAGCAGGAATCAGAACCAATTCAGCTTGTTCTACCATGGCCCTCAGTACAAATAACAGAATCAGGTGGCTAGCTAGAGAGGATGTTGGAAGGCTGATATAGAAAAATAGCACGTTTTAACCTTTTTTGGCTTTGCATAGAGACCTAACAAGTGCTGTTGTCAATCTTTTTCCTTGTCCACTGTAAATAAATAAATACATACATAAAAAAGATTACTGGCAGTTTCAGAAGGAAAAAGCTCTGTTCTTTTACAACCTCATTTTTAGTAGATAATGTAGGAGCAGCGAAGGGCTTGTTGAAGGTTTGTGGGTTTCTGATCTATTAAATTTAATATACAAAGGCATATAAACAGAGGATTCCAGTGAATCCCTTCAGAATCCCCAGTGAATCCAGTAGTATTTACTGGATAAAACTACTACAGGTGTGTTTACTGTAGGAAGTACCATTTCATCTCAGTTTTTCAAACTGCTGTTTTTCACAATACCTAAACTTAATTTCGTTCAGAAGCAAAGGTTGGGAGCTATTCTGATTAAAGCCTTGTATGTCTTTGCATGTATTGCATGTGTGTGAGTTGATTGAAAAATGCAGCATATAAGACTATCAAAGGGTTTAGTACTTGTCATGCCCATATCATTTTATTTCTGTTGCTAAGCACAATAGAATTCTGTTCCTTTTTGCTCTGTGATCCATCCTTTACAGTGTTTTGTCTGCATGTATTAACTGGAGCAAGGCCAAAGTTTTCAACCCAAGATATCTTTGTATCAGACAAAAAAATACAGTGCATGAAACCCTGGCCCCATTAGGGTTAATGATAGCACCCCATGACAAAAATGGAAAACAGGATTTTACATAGTGTCATTTAATGGATGGTTTTAATACACACTTTCTATAGGCAAGAAAGGCAAATTATTTTCTGGTAACTTCCAAATTACCATGCCTTGGTTGTCCTGTCTCATGTCACAACATCCTGGAATTTCAGGTGACACATCGTATATTTTTCTGAGAGGTTTTTCACTATATAAATCTCATATTTTCAGAGATGTCATGTACAGCTTCTGCGTCCTCCCTATCTGTGAAGTCAAGCCAAATAGTTCTGTCCTAGGTATGAATGCTAGCTTTTATATACAACAGATTTCTAAATTTAAGGGAATAGATAGAAAATACAAATAAAATTATAAGTGAGTATTTTGGCGGCAGTGCAGCTGTCCTGTTGCTATCATGTCCTTTAATCCCAATTTTCAAAGAAGTCCAAGAGTTTAAGAGCCGGGCCCCACTGACCATTGTGGTATGTTTGTATGGGGCAATATAGTGTCAGGAGATTGCTTTGAAAAAATAATTACTTGGGTGCTAGGAACAGTATAGCCATTTTAGCACTGTAGTCCACCTAAAGGAAATATCCCCTAATTTTCAGTAGGGCTTAGCTCTGGTGAAGAGCTCTGCTAACATGGATATACTGCTTCCCTATTTCTATGCAAACTGTCACTGCGCAGAATTGCATTGTGTTTTACAGAGATAGGCACTCAACTTATATTGAGAGGAAGTTGCTAACACTCCTTTTGAAAATCACAGTATTTATTGACCTTCTCTGAACAGACACGGAAAATGTTGCAGCACTGTGGTGGTTGGACTCGTTATCCACTCGTTTTATGTGGTATTTCTCAGCCCCTGTATTTTTTTAAATTCCATTCGTTCTCTTTCAATAAGAAATATGCTATTTTAAGGCATTTCCTCATTCCATACATTGGGATTATGGTGGTTGTAGGGTTTTTTGTGGCATCGCAGAAGTAGCATATTTTTGCCTATGCTTATGCAATTTTCAAAAAGGAATGTGTATTGTTAAGTATACTGCTGCAAGTAATAGTAAAAAAGTTGTAATGCTATTTGGGTAATGATATATTGAGTTAATAACTCAAATACAATTGTAGTGAGTCAGCAATTGTATCAAGGTCTTTGTAATCTCACAGTCAAGAAACAGAAATACTTTTAAAATGGCATGCAGTAATATAAAAGTATATAGTATGCTTGAAATTTTGAAATACGTATGTTCATCTTTTTAATTAGAAACGTCTGAAGGCTGCTGAAGCAGAGAGTAAACTGAAACAAGTATACATCCCAACTTAGTAAGTATAGCAAATATTTAAAGTTGATTTGAATAATCTTGCATAATACAGGGATAAAAATGTACCTACCTGTGTGAGAAGACCAGCACAAATAATTTTCCCTGTGAAGCCCCAGACTTGCTATATAAAACAATTTTTTTAGGCTAAATGTTAATGATTGATAGTAAATTTTTCCTAGTCTTGTGGTTTGTTTATATATGTATTTCATTTATGAGCAGCACTGTACACTCAAAATGTTCATGGCAAGGACTGATGACATTCTCTATATGAGACATGTATATTTAATTCACCCTCTATTCTCGCCCACCATTTTTCTTGAATAAAAAAGTAATACCAAATTGAACTAGACTTATTAAAATTCTGCATGAATCAGTATTCAAGTAGTGCCCTTGTAGCCATTTTTACAGCAGATTTCTCAGAGTAATTTCTTTAGAATCCCTCTTGAGCATTGTTATGTATATGCCTACACGTAACATTTGAAAGTACAGTATAAGCAGTTGCTTATTAAACCAATTACAGAAAAAGCAGATACTTTACATGATAATTGTCATTTTATCTTCTTTTTTCTGTATATTGTTAAACCAATTAGATGACAAGAGATAAGAGAGGCATTATAACCATAAGGCAATGAACAGTTTGCAATCCTTTCTTTGTGGAGTGAGCCATATTAACAAAATCTGATTATTTTGAGGCTTTGTCGTCATAGTGTTTTCATTTATTTATGTTTTGGATTTAAATGCAATTCTGAATACCTGCTTTCATAAACATGCTGTTTATTATGATGAGCCGTAATCTGTGTATTTTATATTAATGATTTCTTCAAGCAAGGCTATGGAAATAGTAAGGATTAGGGGCAAAATCCTGCTGTAACTCTGCTTTATAATATCCTATTCTCCATATGTACATGGGTTTTCCTTGTAGAAAAAGCAGAATACAAAAGTTAACGCCAGCGGGCAAAATGGTTTTGCCTTTTCAGTTTGCAAGCAACTTACAATAGATTTTCATTTTATATAGTGTCTTTCACACTTTCTCTGCCATACAGATTTAATCATAGAAGTAATGGCTAGACCATATTAAACTTTAGCATTCAATCCATTTCACCTTCTAAAAATTAATCAGTGGGTATTACGTAAAGACAAAACTAGTTTTCTGATAACATTGTAAAAGATGGTCTTATTTCAAAGTTTCAAATGATAGAAAATTTGTGACAGCCTAAAGTGATTATATTAGTCAAGAAACAGCCACAAGTCTACCGACATCAGCTGCAGCTGGAAAAGGAAATGTGTATAGGAGTTGTGGTTGTTTTGTCTAGATCTACACATATCTTATGCTGGCTTATGTAAAAGGTGATTGTTTTTAGAACCCTTACAACAGATGTGGGTCTGTTCCCTTCCTTTATACAGTCTTGCATTGCTGAAGGTAGGAGTTCTAAATCCAAAATATCTATAAGGTTAGAATTTCAGAAAGAATTTTGAAGGGAAGTCTGGTCACCAGCCTGGCTCCAAAAACCTACAGTACCTGAGCTGTAAGGTCCAATTTCTATTAAGGGGGTAACAGAGAAAGAGAGAGTGCATACCTGTGAGGCCAGCCAGTGCACTGGAGAAGCTAAAATAGACACAACACAGCTAGCTACTTAAGGGCAACCTTAAAGTAGGACCCAAGAGGCAAATCTACATGAGACATTTACTGCAGAGTTGCCTAATTAGCTCTGCAATAAAGTCTTAGCGTCTACGTGTTAAGTGTCTACCTGTTAAGCTGCAGTTAACTAATAAATGCCGCTATAGGTTAGTAGTTGTAAACACAAATACTGTCCTACAGCAGTGTTGTTTAGTGTGCCACACTGCACATGTAGACACTTATGGGGCTGGGTGGGGCATGAGGGTGCTTCAGTGCAGGGGCTGCCTGCTGGCTAGTCTAGCACTGGAGCACCCTCTTGCCCTAGGCAGCCCCTCCACAACATGTTGAGCTGTGTTGGAGTAGCCCCAGGCTGCCCCCTCCTTCCCCCCACCCCCACCCCTCAGCCTCCCGGTCCTCTGCAAAGCTGGGGATGCTCTTACCTGGCTCAATGTGCTGCAGTCCTGAGCGCATGTGTAAATGGTGAGCCCAGAAGCAGTAAACTTCATTGTGAACTGTGCTGGAGTTTGTGTTGCATTAATTGCACATGTAAACATTTCCAAGCAGTAGCAGCCTACTAAGTGTCCAGCTGGAAGAGCTTTACTTGTGCTGAGTGACAACTACATTTACTGAGTTATTTCAGAGAAGTGAAGATTTTACTTTGGATGCATGGTGGCAAGCCCTGCTGTACCTCATTTACCCCAAGGAAGTATAGGTGGCAGTACTTCGTGGGATTTATCTTGGATTAGATTAGACCAGAGGTCTGGAGTCTGTTGTGTCTTATATCTTGTTTCTGACAGGGGTGTTGTATCAGAGAAATCTAAGAATGAATAAATAAGGAGTAGCTGTATCAGTTTCACCAACTTTAGGTGATGTCTTGGCCCCAAACAGCCCTTTCTGTTCCCCTCAGCACGTTGGACATTTTGGCTTTTGACTGCTTCCTGGTGACTGCAGCATTCCACATTGAGAGAAGACTCTCAAAATCAGGCCCTTAATACGATGACGTGTGGCCTAATTCTGGAAGATATTATTCAGGAAAACTTAAGTTAAAATCAACAGCAATCTTCCTAAAGCAGGCCTTAGATTTCTTTGTTTCATTACTTATAGCCCAATAAATATATCTACTTTAAATTGTTAATAAAAGATTGGACTTTTGCTCCTCCCAACAAATGTAATTCTACTTTAAGTGTCAGAACTTGTCCTTTTGCCCCAGAGTTATTCTTAATAATAATAAGCTAATCATATGATACTTTCAGTACACCAGAATTATATTTTTGGATTGGAAATATCATTCCTTTTAATTTTCACATTTGGTATTTGTTAGGGTATGAACAGAAACGCTCACAGCACGGCCCTGTCAGATTCCAACAAATCTGTGAATTCTGCCAAATATCTTGTCACACAAAACATGAAGAAGGAAAGGAAAGGGGCACAGACAAACATACATTTTAGCCACCTTAAAAGAGAAAAGGAGATCCGCGGCTGGCTGTGTTCCAGTTTTTAAGGGGCTGTTTGGGGCCTCCCTGTACCCCACACACACACCCACCCCACACACTGGGGGGCAGGAGGCTGTGGGTCGGGAGTGAGGAGCACTGTGCCAGGCCTAGTCACTGATGTTTATAACTGTGTCCTGGTACAAAAAAGGCTGAGAATCACTGGTCTAGAGTGCAGCATGTTTTTTTAATGCAGATATTATTTTTTCTGTGTGTGCATAAGTTGTTTTGTTTGTTTGTTTGGTTAGTGAGGGTGGTCTGTTTGTTTTAACATAAACTCTCATGTAAGGAAAATAATTTTATTGTTCCTTTATGCAGCATTATACCAAGCTAACTTTTCATATAGCAGATTTTCTCACATAAAATGAACTATGGGCAGACTAGTCCAACAACAACAATCACATACTGTCTGAACTTCCTTTTCTGTCCATCTCTTAGGCCAAACTTACCTTAGAAGACCTGATCGTTTTGGGAACTCACGTGCTAGACCTCACCTTTTCAATTTGACACTGCTTCTTTATATTGGGAATTTGTGGTGCTTCAGGTGTCTACTAGATACCTTGGTACAGAGCTGTCAAGAGGCCTAAAAGCAGCACTGAATGTTCATTGCTTGCAAGAGCATATGCTATGTGACCTTTACCAAGTTTAGTCATTTTCAGCATTTTATAGGTCTGGGGGCATTTGATGGTGAAAACATGCTAAATATCTCTCTACTAAAGGTAATAATATTCATGCATTTGCCCTAGGGAGAAAATTCACCATTTAGTGAAAAGTTTAGTACAAACTTTTCTTAATGTATGAAAATTGGTTTGCCTCGGGTAGAGAGCAGGCTAGTGTCCCCCTTGCTTCCCTCTTCCATCTCACTCAGGGAAAGCATCTTTATAGAAATAACTGCAGGAACAACTGGTGGGAGGGAGGGGAGGCGTGGCAGCATGTTAAATATTATAGCCATTGGTGACTTTTGTTCTTACATTGTACAGGTTCTGCAGATCTGATTGATCATGGCAGAGCCTTTCATCAGCTGTTCACATGATCAGTTTGTTGTTGTCTTTAAACTAAACATTTTTTAGAGAAATAAACTATTACTCAGAAGTATAGGTGGTATGTTTATAAATTAGATGCACAAAACCACATTCTGCTCATATTAATGAGCTGCTTATTAATATCACGTCTGAGAGATCATTTTTTGTTTTGTTTTGTTTAAAGCAACAAGCCAAATCCCAATCAGATATCCAGCAGCAACGGGAAGCCAAGTGCAGTGAATGGAACCATGGGAGCATCTTTTCAGACACAAACCTCACTAATAGGTCGGGCTTGTGAAAGTTGTTACAGTAAGTAAGATTTTTGTTTTTCTTTAGGAATGCAAGTATCATTTGAAAAAGGGGATATTTTTGCTAGGGCTAATTTGTGTTCCCTGCTAAAACAAAAACAAAAAACTCCAACACATATATTTGCTTATCTGTTATCACACAATGAGCAATTTATAGTCAATTTCTAAAGAATTTTGATTGTTAAAAGTACAAAATATTTTACAGCTAGTTCTTAAATAGGAAGTACTCCAGTAGATAGATTAACTTTTAGTATTTTAGAGTGACTTTCCATTTCCCTTTGCTAGAAGGAGCGCTAACTACTAAATTATTGAATTGAAAGGTGTGTGGGTCTACCACCTGTTCCTACCATTAGTTGTATAGTTTCTCAGTCTAAAGATGTGGGACTTATGTGGAATTTTAGATATTTTCCAGGGAAGATTAGGGTCTCAGGAGAGTAACAGTTGCTTCCTTCCCTGCCTCAGTGTAGCAATTCCAAGTATGCTCAGAAAGCCAGAATTTTTGTGTCATTTTATGAAGGGACACAAGGTGAATTAGGATGGTATTTATTCAGATGGATGCCTAAAAGCTATATAATCGCTTCTTATAATCACGATTGGAGTTGGCCCATTGTATACATAATGCATCAGTGTTATCTGTATTATTTTCTTGTTATTAGCTCCACAGTCTCATCAGTGGTATTCTTGGGGTCCCCCTAACATGCAGTGTAGATTATGTGCACCTTGCTGGATTTACTGGAAGAAATATGGTGGCCTGAAAATGCCAACACAGACAGATGAAGAAAAACTAGCTCCCAGCCAAACCACAGAGGTAGGAAACTTTTCTCAAGCATTGAATGACACATTCTCAGAAGGTGCTGTAATTTATATTGGCGTATAATATTCTCGGACCTATGCTACAAAACCCCAGGGTTTTTTTTTTTTGGTTGTGTTTTTTTTGTCTGTTTGCTTTTTTTCTTAGGAAATACAACTGTTAGATATTTTTTCTAGATTGAGTGTACTCAGTGCTGTACAAAGAATAGGGTGAAAGGTGCCTGAAATACCTTACAATCTGAAGGACCTACATAGAAAATATTTACTTTTTTGTATTCAATTAATCCCTTGCAGAGTCACTCTGATTTCCCTGGAACCGAGTAAAAGTTGCACCTGAGCAGAGATCCAGCACTAGGTCTGGATATATGCACTACTGAGTCCTGATTTTGACTTTTAAAATTGGTTTGAGTGGTATCTAGGTCTTCTGTTGGCTTTGAAACACAACCCAAAGTAGAAAAATGCAGTCCTTCACGCATCTCTGATGGGTTATTCAGTCTCACCTTGTCATTCGAAGTCTGTTATGTGTTTGCAGGTGTAAAAAAACCAAACAAACCCCAAAACCAGTGCTTTGCTTTTAAACTTGGCGTGTTCTTGCACCGAGTCCCGTGCACACCCAGAAGAGGCAACACATTACTTCAGCCCAACTTACCTGACATCTATGAAGATTGGGCACTTTAGTGGGGCTTTTTTTGGCACTTTTATCTAATAGCTGATTGAATCGGCTTTAGCTCAAAGGGCCAAAATTCCTGCTGAAGCACCCACTCTTTTCAGATGCTGCAGAGCTGGGTTGAACTAATGCACTGCTTCTTCTGCTAAAGCATGGCTTTTTTTTTTGTAATGACTGCAAGCAGCCTAAAATGTCAATATGTGCATACTTAGCCAGATAAACTGACGTTCCCTATCTCTGCCAACAAGAGGAAATTTTTTTGGTTTTGGTTTCTTACATAAAAGCCAATTCAGGGCACCATTTGTTATTATTCGTCCTCTGAACTTCTTCAAATTCTGAATGAATTCTGAGTGGTTAATTTTGATGCTTAAGTCCAAGAAAAATTCCATTCTTGCAGTCTGTTTTCTTCAAGTATTTGGGAAAAATATACTATTGTCTTCATTTCAATTCTTAGGCATTCTAGTTTATTGTAGATTCTTTTTACATTGCAAATATTTTATTTTGGCAGTTATAAAGGGGTGCTTTGGTTGTTGCCTTCCAGTTATGTGTCCTATGATTTTTTTTTGTAGGATCCTTGTATTAGAACTCATATGTCACGCCAGGCCACACAGGGAACGCCAGTTCGTAACACTGGTAGTCCAAAGGCATCAGTGAAAACGCGCCAAGCTTTCTTCCTTCACACAACGTGTTTGACAAAACTTGCCCGCCAGGTCTGCAAAAATACCCTCCGGCTGCGGCAGGCAGCAAGACGTCCATTTGTCCCTATTAACTGTGCTGCCATTAAGGCAGAATGTAAGATGTTTTTAAATTCCTAGCTTTGTGTGCAGTGATTCCAACCATTTTCTGTCTTTCATTTTATTTTCTTTTTCAATAAACATTTCTTGTCTATACCCTTTTGTTTTATTTATTTTCCAAGGTCTAAGTTTACATTTGTCCAACATATCACCAGTGGATTCAGACAAATACTATCTTTTTTAAAAGATTGAAAGTTATTTAAGAATAAAATGGGTATGAAAAGGGAATAATGCAAATAAATTTAAGGGAGTATCATCTCATCTTCCTCTCATATATTGTTGTTTTAGCTGTCATAATTTTCCTGGAATCTTATGGGAAACTGGAGTAAATATTTTGTAACATACAAGTCTGACTGCGTAGTACGTGAAATGAGCTGGCATTTAAAAGGGTTTATTTTTTGGTTTTGTTTTTTAGAGTTAAAGGTGTAGGGCCAGATTCTGTTAATCTTCCATGCATACAAGGAATAAGGCAGACTTTTCTGGATGAATAGGAATGATAGCTTCTGGCCGTTAATATTATTAATTATTATTCGTTGTAAGTTCTGTGATGGTCGCAGTTATGGTTTCATCAAATTTTACTTGTTTCATCCAGTCTTGAATCATGCAGTATTACTTTGGGGCTCTTGCTGTATTGTTTTAAAATAGTGAATTTGTAGGTAGGATAAGACAAAAAGTTAAGAAAGTTTACAAATAGTAAAATAATGATTTTCGTATGCTTCTGAAAGCTTGGAACTGAATCCAAAGTCTGTTGAAGTAAAATTCAGTGTTTCAGAGAATTAATGTAAGCTTATTTAATATATGTGCTGTATGACCAAGACTATCATATTTTCATTAGATGGCATCTCCAGGAGTCAGTTTGATGCACCATTGTGAAATCATACCACATCATCTCTAGAAGCAACAGATCAGGTAGTGAAAGGGTTAACAGGATTAGGTGAGCTGTGTTCGCTCATTGCCACAGTAACCGAAATTACGATTTTTGAGCATTAGAATTGATTTTTTACAATCAATAAAGACAAAAATAGGGAAAATTTCTCAGGTTTTTAACAGGCATCATAGGGGTTTTATCGATCATCTTTCCACAGTTAAGCATAAGAAACATACTGATTATGGTCTTTGAGACCATTACTGGTGTTTTTTTCACTTCTTCCCCATTGTTTCCATCTCAGGTCATGCAAACAATGGTCTTAATCATGTAAACACCCACACCTTGATAGAACCACTCACATGAGTAAAGTTACTCACTTTTAAATCTGTGCATGATTGGGCCCTAAGAAATTAGTTCTATATGCCTTACTTAGGAAAACAGTCCCACTGAGCCTGATTCTCCATTCTCTTAAGCTAACCTAAGTCAAAAGCAACTTTGTTGAAGTCAAAGGAGTTATAAGGGCTGTGGGAGAGGAGACCCAGAAGTCTATTGTGCAAGTAAAATGAGAAAGATATGTACTTCTGCTTTGGTGGGAGATGTGTCCAAGGCAGAATTATTCTTTACATTTTTATCCTGAATACAGATTATACAAAAACATTTGAAAGATTCAAAGTCTAGTAGAATAAATTTTTTTCTCCAGAAGATAAAAATTTGTACCCTTTAGAAGTGGTATAAGCTGGCGCTGGTTTCTGAAGACAGCATGGGGAAAATTGCCTTTAGAATTAGATTCATTTTTGACAGGCAGACTAGAATCATTTTTCTTTTCTGTTTTTTCCTCTGGGTCTGTGGATTTAACAGTCATTACATCCTATCTTCTTGTTCAGAGCAATAAAACAAAATGGTTCATTTGGCTATTAATCATTATCCCAAAAGGGATGTTATTTAATGCACAATTCAAACTTTTAAAACAATGGAAATGAAAAGCAGAACTTTTCAAAAGGAAATAGGCATTTTTCCATCAGCCTGACAGTGTCTTGAGTGTTTCATTTGTGTTTCTTTGATTGAATAATTGTCAGTACACATTAGTCAGGAGTTAAAAGATCACTTTGTTTTGTAAACCCTGACCTTGGATTTTGTTTCTGCTTCAAGGAAAAATTGCATCTGTGTTCTGTCTTTTATATTTTGATACTACTGATTATCTGATTGGCCCTAAAATAGATTTTAAAAGCACATAGTAAAAGGGTAGCTTTTGGAAAAAGTAAACAAAAAACCTCCAAGCTATGTGAGACAATGGGATCCAAACAGTATGTTTATGACTGGTTTCATATTATATTCCCCCCCACACACACACAATGTTCTCTTTACCTATTTACATCCATACATAGCTTGACCATGAACTGGTCTTGCACTTCACTCAATCTTATCAAATGACACAAAGCCTACATAACTTTAAGCTGCTATAAAATCAGAATTTCTTGCAGCTGTTTGTTTTCTTTCTAATTACTTGTGCATGACCTTAACAGTGCACTTAATTGAGGCTGAGTTTGTTTTAACAATTCTTCTTCCAATCTTTTGTATCTTTTTTGAAAACAACCTTGAAGGTCATACACTTTTATGTGAAGCATAGCCACTTTGATGAACCTTAATGAGAGAACATGCTGAAAAGGAGGGAGCTAGCAATAATAAAAACAAATGACAGCATAGTGTGATACTGTAATGCTTGTAATCATCTGAGGTGCTTGAACTAAGTCTTCCAGTCAAAGTCTCAAGCAAGGCATGAAATGGTTGAGGATATCTGGGCTTTGGACCTTGCTTCCTGTCTTCACTTGTCGAAGCTCGGACCACATGACCACCAGGACTCTCAGCAAGGCTCACTTGTTCTTTTATTTGTATAGTACCAGTGTCTAGAAATACCAATAGAACTCACAGCTAAATAGGACAAACATAATACAAATATGTTAACAAAAACTGCTAAATCTTATAAGCTTAATAGACAATGATTTCCAAAGATTACAGAATATGTCAGTGATACAGTGAGGTTGCCTGATATCTGGTCTGACCACATAACTCACTAAACCATGCTATTCTCCAAAAGTTTCTTTTGAGATTGGACACTAGTGAGGTTTATTTACAGTGGGTAAGATGTGCCTGAAGTGCATAGAAGGAAGGTATATTCTGCTAAAGGTATCATCCATCTCTGCATGGTCTTTGTTTCTAGATCTGCTGGAAGAAGAGAGGCAGGACTTCCAACTTCCAACCTATTTCTTTACCATGTTAGGCAGAAACAGCAGTCAGGATTATAAGCCAGACTCTCCCCTTTGATGGTCAGGGAGATTTTGTGTGGTCACCTGCTTAGAATGTAGTAGCTGCTTTATTTATTTATTGGCAAGGACTTTAAATAGATAAAGGTATGTCTTGCTGAAGGTTGCTGCCTAAAGGTCTCTGCCTACAAAGTGTTGAGCCATTAGGGGCTGAAGGAAACGAGCATGTCACAAGGATTCCTAACATCTGTGGATAGTAATGTAAAGTACAACTCAACCTAAAAGACCCAAGGCTTTTCCTTCAAAGAGTTAGTGAAATACAAATCTGTTTCCTATAGGTACACTTGCCTTTAGTCCTTGATGTCAAATGCTCAGTTTGACACTAAGACCCACTCTTTGAGCTACAATGGAAACTATGGAACACTGAGCCTATTCAGAGTTTTTTGCAGGGTCCCTTTAAACTTTGGCTCCCACTAGGCACTGTAGAAAGGAAAAAAGGTCACCTTCTATAGATGTTAAAGCTAGAAATAATTGTTAGGTGTGGCACTTTGAAAGGGCCCTGAAGTACAATAGATCAAATCGGTGCTGACCAATAGTTACCTTCAGTTGCCTTGCATCATCCCTACTCAGCCGTGCCTTGACTTAGAGCCCTGATAAATGCCAGACTTTTTCACTTTTTGAGCAAATAACTACCAAACATTGTTCAGCAAAGGTACACTATGGAACTGCACTATGCAAAGATTGCATTTCTGATCTCAAGTAATTGAAGGAAACACCAGGATGTGAATAAAACTATTGGGATGATGCAAGGAATGGATCATTTCAGCCCACCAGGGAACTGGAGACTAACAGAGCAGGAATCTCTAGAAAATCTGAATATTTTTCCAGTGCAGGCTTTTGTTCAAATTCCTTCCCAAAGCATTTTCTCCATTTTGCATGTAGGTGGCATTACTTCCACCTGTCACAGTTCAGGTTAGTACCCTTGGATGTGACAAAGTTTTTAGGGTCTCTTCCAGGATCATTCTGGCTTTAAAAACAGAACGGCATTATTTATTTTTCTGATAGGGACTCTGGTGAGAGAAAAAGCTGCAACACACAGCAATAAGTTTTCTGGAAACATTGCCACGAAGTTGGTCAAAACCCTATGCTGGGAATGAATGCTGCTGGGTACAAAGTCTCTCTCGCATGAATGCTAACAGGAGATGAAGGCTGCCATAAAGGAAATCAGTGGTGTCATAGAAACAAAAATTCAGTTCTTATTGGAGCCTGTTGGAAATGCTGATCTCACATGTTGATGTACTTCAGTGAACCAAGTTCCTTACGAGACTTATCCATTAATTTCTGTTGTATCCTTCATACCTTATCCCCTTTGCACTATCACTTGTATTGGCAGAAAGCAAGGTCCTATTTTAAATTTTCCATTCCCTCAGCCAGTTAGTGCAAGAATAAGATTTCTGAGGACCCATTCATTCACAACATAAGCAGAACAGTTTGTCATATTAGATTGCTCTGCATATTTACAATCCTCATTTGCCATCAGGAGGTAATGGAGAAGAGCATTCACTTGGGTCCACGCACTCCAGCAATGGTTAAGAGAAAGTGAGAGAGCACACAGTATTCACCAGCTGGAGCACACTTACTCAGTCAGGTCCTCTCAGAGACAATAAAATTGTGCTGGTTGTGATAATTAGCTTGTCTGATGGAGTTTTCAGAAATAAACCAGGGAGAACCTAGTCAGCCCCATCTCGGGTTGAGATGGCGGCTGTATAAGATTTGGATAAATAATAAATAATGCATATACTTTTTTTAAAGCACTTTGGGTATTCATAATAAAAGGATATTTTTACTTCCCACCCAGAAGCAGACTTC